GCTGTTTTGTAGATATTGACACACTCACCAGGTGGAAGAGATGAACTACATGAGGACCAGGCTGTAGCCATGACATAAGCTGCCATCATTCCGAGAACTGGCCTCAAAGAAATGGGAACAAACCAACCCTGGAACTGAAGATTAATGGTACTTAAAACAATCAAGATGACGCTGGTCAGACCACTTTCAAGATGACTGTCAGAGCTGACCGTGCTGTTTCTGCATGTAGTCCCCTCCCTCCATCTACAAAAGCTCTTGCCCACTGATTGTCAGTGCCGGGGTGGGGGGGCAGTTGGCCTTTGGACAGGATTCCACCCTCCCCCCCATTGCCAGCATCCAAAATAAAGCAAGCTTTCCTTTCCACCAACCTTGCCTCTTTATTGACTTTTGAGTGGCGAGCTGCTGGACCCCACTTTCAGTTACAAAATGAAAATTAAATTTTAGGCTCAGTCTGTCTCACACTGGGCCCAATGAATCCACAGAAGTGTGTCTGTTTCACGCTTCTCAGTATGTCTTTGGAAGAGACATACACATCCCTTGCACAATCCCCACAATGGTTCCTCAACTCATGGAGTGGGGGCCAAATTGAAATCCCTAAAACTACCTCTTGTACAAAAAACAGCAAAACAAGAGACTATCACAGCTGTTTTGGTTCTGGTACCAATTCCAGTATGTGGAGAGGCAGTGAGGGTCCCCATACCAACAAAAAGCAATTTTCCCACAGCAGCAGCGTATCTAAAAATCCAATTCAATTCTGACACTATCTACCCAGAGAGAGCGTCAGATTCCACAGGTTAATGGTTCAGTCCTACAAGACTGTGTCCCACCCCCTCCAACACACACACACACTTCAGGTGCCCGTCTCAAGTCCAGGTTGTTACTTGTACTTCTGACCAGTTGGCTATAAATCACACGTTCCCACTACCCACTCCCCCCTCGAGTTTGACTAATTTGCTAGAGCCGCTCACAGAACCCAGAGAAATGTTTTACTTACTAGGTCAACAGTTTATTGTAAAAGGATATAACTCCGGAACAGCCAGATGGAAGAGCTGCGCAGGGCAAGGCACTGGAGGATGGAGCACACAGCTTCCGTGCCCTCTCCAGGCACGCCACTCGCCCTGCACCTCCACACGCTCAGCAACACCGACGCTCTACAAACCATCGGGGGTTTTATGGAGGCTTCATTACACAGGTGGGATTGATTAACTCATGGCCACCGTCGATTGAGTCAACCTGTGGCCCCTCGCCCCTCACTGGAGATTAGGAGGTGGGACTGAAAGTTCCAGCCTTTTAACCACATGTTTGGCTCTCCAGGCAGCCAGCCCAATCCTTAGGTGGGACCCAAAAGTCACCTCATTAACATAACAAAAGACACCGTTCTTCTCTCATCACTTAGGAAAATCCAAGGGTTTTAGGAGTCTATGCCACGAATGGTGTCAAAGAACAAATACATATTTCTTACTATAAATCACACTATCACAATATCCCTGGGAATTGCTGAGTTTAGGGTCATCATCAGACACAAAAATTGTAGTGGTGGTGATCTTAACACTTCACCATTGACCTCACTTGTTTGGCTGGTCTATGCACAGGGGGTAGACACAGATAATGGTTGGATTATCATAACCTGAGTCAGAGGGTGACTCCAATTACATACTCCTTTGTATGTGGTGTCTGCTAGAGCAAATCAATACATGTCCTGCCACCTGCTATGCAGCTAATGACTTGACAAATGCTTTTCTCTCTTTACCAATTAGTAAGGACAATTAGAAACGTTTCACTTTCAGCTGGCAAGAACCCCTTCACTGTTAGACCTCAAGGCAATTCTCCCACTCCATGACAGACAGGAGCCATGATCATCTAGACATCCTATAGGACGCCACGCTAATAATCAAATATTGATCACATTATGCTAGATAACTTAGTCTGAATGATTCTGGTGGGGAAAAATATTGACATTTTGAGTGCTTGACAATTCAGCAGGGTTTGTAAATGTCTAGTAGTCTGAATCTGATTGGGATATTCTTTTCATGCAAAAGACAAATTTCACCACTTAAGAGGACCTAAAGCACAGGCAGAAGCACAGAGCTTTTGGGATCCCTTTGCATCTTAGCGAAAACATATTACACACATATTACAACATACTGTGTTGCTACAACCCATTTATAAAGTAGCATGCACCAAGGTACTCTGACATTCAGTCCAGATGACCCAGTTCATCTATGCAATGGTGACTGAAGTACTGGTGGCAAATAAAGATGCTCTGCAGAGACTCCAGAAAGCCCCATAAGAAGAATCACAGTATAGACACCAAGGGTTTTAGAGCAAAGTCAGTTATTTTTTTACTGAACACTATTTTTGTTTGTTTGGTTGGCTGGTCCATCTGTCATTCAGTAGGTCAGTCAGCTGGTTGGTTTACAACTTGCCTCTGGCAGAACCTGCACACTTGACCATAAACCAGCAAATGATTCTGCAACCTGAGATGCCCATGAGGAAACAAGTACTGTCTGACCTGCCAGGCTATAAGATTGGGCTTGTATAGAAGCAATATAACATCAAGTGGACGTGATCGATTAGAAATCAGGCTTAAGCAGGTGGGAAAAGGACAAGTAAGATACATGGAAATTAGCCCAGACTCACTAAGCACCTATTCCTGCTACATTGCCCCACCTACTTAAATCAAAATTTATGACCTCGTGGGGAAAGATAAGTTGATGAAGGATAAATAAAATTCAGGTTATAAAAGGAAAATCGAAATAGTATTGCTAAGAGAGCTTTCTGAAACGGAGCTGGGAGTCCACTGAGGAAGTGTGACTTACATACATCTGGACCTGGATGGAATCTGACTTTGACCACTTACTGTCTTAATGCAGGCACTCAGAACACCTGCCCAATGATACTTATCGGATACTTACCACAAATAACTCGTGACAGCCTATCTACTTATTGAACCCTTACCCTAAAATAGCCCTTAAGAATAAATATGTCCTTTCTTGTATCAGAGTCAATCATAATTCTTGCCAGACAACTTTAACAACCCTGTGGCTTTTATCTGTATAAGCCCCTGACTCTTTCCTCTGCTCCAACACCCTTTTAGTTTCACCCAAATCTCTCTCCTGAATTGCAATTCCTAATAGCCCAAATAAACTCTTACTTGCACCCTTCTGCACCGCTTGGATGACAAAGTCTACTTTACGATAGGAAAGGATAGATAAAATTCAGGTCTACTTTATGGATAGGTCTGCACAATATATAGGCATCAAGAGGAAATATACTGCCACAGAAATTAAGCTCCATTCAGGAATGGCAATAAAAAAATGTGTAAAAGTGAAATGCTTAAGCTGGCTCAAGTGCAGGACCTCTGGTTGTTCACCTTGCGTGGCATGAGATTGGCCAGTGATGAGCCTACCCTGATTCATGGGAAATGGTTAATGGTGGCTGACCAGTCAAGGGCATAGAAATAATGAGTTTGCAAGATTGGTGACATGGAGGTCTATTCAATGGCCAGGATAGATACTTATAAAACTTTCCACTCAGATAAGCCCCTCATTGCTCCTGAGCCATTCTGTAACATTTCACCTGCATGGTCTTAGTTTCGCAAGGGAATAAACCATGTTAAGTACCGGGTTTTGTTTTGGTTTTCCAGCAACTAGGTTGTTTTGGTGGTGAAACTGACATGATCTTTAGGAACGTAATATCTTCCTTAGCTGGGTTTTATTATAAGAACCATCATAGCCAAAGCATACTGATTTCTCAAATGCAAGAAATAACTACTGATCACTATAGATGTTTAAATTGAAAAAAACATAAAAACACAGCTATTTTACTTGCAAACAATGTGCTAATTGTTTTCAGCTGTAGCACATAGCCAGTAATAGCTCAGTTCTTTACCCCGTGCTAATAACCCAACTGAGGAGAGAATGGGGCAATTAAGAGCACTATCTCAAAAGGAAACAGATTTTACATTATAGAGAGTAAAGTATGTAAAATACTGAATTCTCCATAAGGTATTTTTAGAAATAATTATTTGAATTAATAAACACAGAATTCTGAATTTCAGGTCAATTCAAAAATACCTACTGAGAATCTAGTATTTGCCATTGTACTGGTCAACTGAATACCAAAATAAATAAATAATAGTTTCCTCCAGTATTAAAAAGTTTTTAGTTTAATCACCAATTCTCAAGCAACCGGACACTAATGAAGGCTTTAACAATTAATTTAACAATTAATCACGGGCACAGTGGTAGAAATGTGAGTTAATGCTTATCATTTTGAATCGAAAGATTATAATTTTCAGCATTCCAGGTAAAAGGTATGGACACTTTACATTTTTTAACAGGTACTTAACATTCAGTAATACTTATCACATCATTTACATGAATACTCTCTCTGTGTTCCATTCTGTCCAATATAGTAGCTATTAGCTACATGTAAAATTTTGACTAAAACTAATTAAAATTATGTAACGTTAAAAATTCAATCCTCAGTCACACTAGCTACATTTAAAAATTTTTTATTTTATTGTGGTAAGAACACTTACCATGAGATCTACCCTCTTAATAAATTCTGAAGTGTACAATGCAATATTGTTGACTACAGGGAGGGGGAAATGAAAAGTTACTCTTCAAGGGGCATAGTTTCAGTTAAGCAAGATGACTGAGTGTTACAGATTGCTGTAAAACATTGTACACTAGCCACATTTGAAGTGCACATGATCATATGTATGTAAGGCCTGCCATATTGTGTCATAAAAAATGTTCCCTTATCACAGAAAGGTTTTTTGGTCTCCTGAGTTGAACTTATCTTCCTAATTAACAGAATAGGAGGAAGCACTGAATTTTAAAGGTAATTAATGTTGATCCTTTGTTTCTTCAATAGTGTATTTTGTTCTACTTAATTCTTAATTCAACCCCTGCAGAATAGAATACATTCTATTCTGCTGTAAAATTAATAGCTTACTTTCTTTTCTCTTTCTGGTTGTAAAACAAATGTCTTACTTTCTTCTGTTGGCAAGTGTCTCTTCCCCATTTCTTATAAAGATCTTCATTCCATGCTTCTCTTTGCTCCCATCAAAAGAACAACGGGGGCTTTGTGTGGGTGTTCTGATTGGACGGCCACAAATCTTATTTACCTTTTAAATAGAAAATATTAAAGACAGTTAGAAAGCATGCTCCAGCCTTTCTGAGGATGTAATGTTCACTAGAGTCCAAAACAATAACATATTCTTATTTATAGCACACTAATAACCTTTAAGACATACAATGTTTGTTAATTTTTAAAATAAAGGGAATCAAATTATCTGTATAAAATGGCAGCCATAATAAATTGATGCTATACACATTTATACAGTTTGCATGTATGCAAGTGCAAAATACACGAATAAAAAGATATATGCAAAATCAGAGAACTACATTAATAAACTAGCCTGCTTGTATAAATAAAACTAATCAAAGTAGATATTATTTATGGTTTATAACCATATGTATGACTAATTACTTACTTGTACTAATTTTTTTTAATAAAATAATTTGCTATTGAATATGTGGTCCATTTCTATATGAGTTCTAAGGGTCATTTTCTTCTTAAAATGCTTTCTTAGAAATGGCAATAAATATTTTTATATAAGATCTCATTTTGTAATAGTTGTATATCTTTTTCCTCAATCTGGTTTGATTTCAAGGGTGTTATTTATGGTCTCTTTTTTAAAAATTATTTATAGAATTGAAAATTTTAATTTTTAATACTACTTATCTAGTAAAGATCTTCATATGTAATTATCATTGAAAATTAAGGAATTAATTGGACACATTACCATGTAAAGCATCAAAAAAGATTCACAAGATAACTTATACATTTAAAAAGGCATAGTCATATAATTAAAAATACATAAAAGCATTGCCTGAGAATCAGGAGACTTTGGTTCCTGTCCTAATATTTCCTTCTTAATTGCTGAGATCTTGAAAACAGTGGCAGAACTTTTTAAAACTTGATTCTCTTATATGTAAAATGAAGAACTTAGAAAAAATTATTCCAAAGTTCCCTTAAAGTTCTAAATTTTTTAAAATTTTCCATGAATGAGCATTACAGGAATTATGCATCAACTCATTTATTTAAACCATAATTATTTTGTTCCAATATTTGCAAAGAACATGTATTAGATGCTATAGGACATAAAAGATTAGAAACTGAATTTTCCCCAAAAGAGCTGACAATTTAGAAGGAAAGAAAAAACAATCCCCCCAAACATCAAAACGCACATGCACCTTAAGAAAAGGCCTGGCCCACACCAGGCTCCAGCCCACCCTGCCAATGTGACAGCCCCAGAGAACGCTGGGAAAGGCCCTGGCCCACGCTCACTTCAGCTCCAGTCCTCCTGCCAAAGCCACTGGGCACACACAGTCAGCATAGGGATACTCCCAGACAAGGACATACCTTCAAGAGCAGGAGAGGTAATTGCTTCATCTAATTTATAGAGACAAACAACAGAAGGCAAACTTTAATGAAATGGAGATAAGTAATTTACTTGATAGAATGTCCGAAGTACCAGTCCTAAAAAAGCTCACTGAACTCAGGAGAAGTCTATAGGAACATAGAATTTTAACAAAGAATTTGAAAATGTAAAACAAATCTTATATATATGAAATATATATATTTATATATATGAACCTCATGGTAACCAAAAACCAAAAACCTACAATAGATACACAAAAAAACAAAGGAAGCCAAAAGTAATACTAAAGAAAATCATCAAACCACAAGGGCAGAGACTAAAAGAAGAAAAGAACAGAGAAGAACTACAAATACCTCCAGAAAAGAATGAACAAAATGGCAATAAGTACATACCTATAATAATCACTTTAAATATAAATGGATTAAATGCCCTAATCAAAAGACATAAGGTGGTTAAATGAATAAAAATAACAAGACCCATCCATATATTGCTTACAAGATATTAACTTCAATGCTGAAGACACACACGGACTGAAAGCGAGAGGATGGAAAAAGGTATTCCACGCAAACGGAAACAAAAAGAAAGCTTTGGTAGCAATACCCATATTAGACAAAACAGACTTGAAAACAAAGTCTAGAGCAAAAGACAAAATAGGACATTACATAATGATGAAAGAGTCAATCCAAGAAGAATTCTTAAACATGTATGAACCTAACATAGGCATACCTATATACATAAAGAAAATATTAACAAACATAAAGGGAGAAAATGACAGTGATACAAAAGTAGGGGACTTTAATACCCTACCTGCAGCAATGGACATATAATCTGGACAGAAAATCAGTATAGAAACATTGCCCTTAAATGACACATTAGACTTGATGGACTTAACAGATATCTACAGGACATTCCATCCCAAAACAGCAGAATACATATTCTTTTCAAGTGCATATGGAACATTCCCCAGGATAGATCACATGCTAGGCCACAAAACAAGTCTCAATTAATTGAAGAAGATTGAAATCATATCAAGCATCTTTTCTGACCACAAAGATATGAAACTAGATATCAGTTACAGGGAGAAAACTGGAAAAAACAACAACACATGGAGAGTAAACAACATGCTACTATAAAACCAATGTGTCAATGAAGAAATAAAAAAATACCTTGAGACTAATTAAAATAAAGACACAACTTTCCAAAATCCATGGGATGTGGTAAAAGCAGTCCTAAGAGGGATTTATAGTGATACAAGCCTATCTCAGGAAACAAGAAAAATGCCAAAGGAGCAATCTAACTTGACACCTAAAAGCAGTAGTAAAAGAAGAACAAAGACCAAAGATAGCAGAAGGAAGGAAATGGTAAAGATCAGAGTAGAAATAAATGAAATAGAGAACAAAAAAAGAGGAAGAAAAGATCAATGAAGCTAAGAGCTGTTTTTTTGAAAATATAAATGAACTTGATAAACCCTTAGCTAGACTCATAAAAAAAAAAAAGGAGAGAGCGCCCAAATAAATAAAATTAGAAATGAAGAAGTTAAAACTGACATCCCAGAAATACATAATATCATAAGAGAATACTACAAACAATTATAAGCCAAAATTTGGACAATGTAGAAGAAATGGATAAATTCCTAGATACATACAGTCTTCCAAGACTGAAACTGGAAGAAACAGAAAATCTGTACAGACCCAATAATAGTAATTAAATTAAATCAGCAATCAAAAAACTTCCAGCAAACAAAAGTCCAGAACCATATAGCTTCATAGGGGAATTCTACTAAGCATTTAAAGAAGAGTTAATACCTATTCTTCTCAAATTATTCTGAAAAACTAAAGAGGAAGGAATACTTCCAAACTCAGTCTACAAGGTCAGCACTACCCTGATACCAAGACCAGCCAGAGATATTACAAAAAAAGAAAATTACAGGCTAATATCCCCGATAAACATGGAGGCAAAAATCCTCAAAAAATATTAACAAACTGAATTCAACAATATAAAAGGATCATAGATCATGAGCAAGTGGGATTTATTGCAGGATGCAAGGATAGTTCAATATCCACAAATCAATTAACAAAAGGAAGGGCAAAAAATCACATGATCATCTCGACAGACACAGAAAAAGCATTTGACAAAATTCAACATCCATTCATTATAAAAACATTCAACAAAGTTGGTATACAGGGAACAAGCTTCAAAATAATAAAGGCCGTTTATGAGAAACACACAGCTAACATCATACTCAACAGTGAAAAGCTAAAATCTTTTCCTCTAAGATCAGCAACAAGACCAGGATTCTCACTCTTCTCACTTTTATTTAATAAAATATTGGAAGTCCTAGTGACAGCAATCAGACAACAAAAAGAAATAAAAGGCATTCAAATTGAAAGAGAAGAAGTAAAACTATCACTATTTGCAGATGACATGATAATATATATAGCAAACCCTAAAGACTCCACCAGAAAACTACCAGAACTAATAAATGAATTCAGTAAAGTCACAGGATATAAAATAAATATACAGAAATTTGTTGTATTCCTATACACTTATAATGAACTATCATAAAGAGAAATCAGTAAAAAAAATTCCACTTACAATGGCATTAAAAAGAATAAAATACCCAGGAATAAATTTAACCAAAAAGGTGAACCACCTGTACTCTGAAAACTATAAGACACTGATGAAAGAAATTGAAGACAACACAAATAAATGGAAAGATATTGTGTGTTCATGGATTAGAAGAATCAGGTTTATTAAATACACAAATATTTACAATTGCCAAGATATGGAAGCAACCTAAATAAGTGTCCATCAACTGATGAATGGCTAAATAAGATATGGTAAATAGAATTGATCCTTGAACAATGTGGGAGTTAGGGGCACCAACCCCATACAGTCAAAAATCCACATATAACTTTATAGTCCACTCTGTGTATCCACAGATCCACATCCATGAATTCAACCAACTGCAGATAGTGTGGCACTGTAGTACATATTTATCAAAGAAAAAATCCACATATAAGTGTACCTCTTCAAACCCACATTGTTCAAGGATCAACTGTATATACAATGGAATATTATACAGCCATTAAAAAAGAATGAAATCTTGCCACTTGCAACAACATGGATGGACCTGGAGGGTATTATGCTAAGTGAAATAAGTCAGACAGAGAAAGACAAATACTATGTTTTCACTTATATGTGAAATATAAGAAAAAACAAATAAACAAATATAACTAAATAGGAACAGACTCAGATATAGAGAACAAGCTAGTGGCTGCCAGAGGGGAGGCAGGTGGTGGGGGGGAATGGTCAGATTAGATGGAGGGGATTCAGAGGTACAAACTATCATTTATAAAATATAGGTCACAGGGATGTAATGTAGAGCACAGGGAATATGGTCGATAATATTATAATAACTTTTCATGGTGTATAATCTATAAAAATATTGAATCATTATATTGTACACCTGAAACTAATATAATAAGTCAACTCTACTTCAATAAAAAAAGAAAAAGAAGTAACACTGTGACATGTAGAAAATGAACAGATTAACTCTGTTTGGGGTGCTTAGGGAAGAGCTTCAGTACGTAATGTCTAAATGGCAGATTAAAAGATAAACTAGGGGTTTGCCAGGTAGACAAAGCAGGAAATTTCCAGGAGAGAGTAGAAAGGCAAAG